TCCAATAAAAGAGAGTTGGATGACAACTATCCAATGAAAGAGAGTTGGATGACAACTATCCAATAAAAGAGAGTTGGATGACAACTATCCAATAAAAGAGAGTTGGATGACAACTATCCAATGAAAGAGAGTTGGATGACAACTATCCAATAAAAGAGAGTTGGATGACAACTATCCAATAAAAGAGAGTTGGATGACAACTATCCAATGAAAAAGAGTTGGATGACAACTATCCAATAAAAGAGAGTTGGATGACATCAAGAAAGATAGCGACTGAACCACAGGAATGACTGAATATAATTGTTAAGGTTTGATGTGGGTTGTCTCCTATAACCAGTCAGAATTCAGGCAAATTATGCTAATATCTGTGCATACAGGTCCCCCTATATATATACCTGGTATTTATGCATCGATTTGGCATTGAAATCTCCAGCGATTAGACCCCAATTCAGGGGAAATTAGAGGAATCAAGCTTATAGTTCAGACATACACCGCGCATACATTATTCTAGAAACAATTTAAACATTAAATCCAAACTTTGATTCTAGACAAACAATTTCAAACATTTTGTAACATTTCTGTAATAAGTTTTAGGCTGGATTTAAAGGGACTGTCTTTATAATTTCAAGTGATCTTCCATTTAATCGAGGAGTAAGCCCAATTCACAACGGTGCCTTGGAAATCTTTATGTGATGAAAATGTCCTTGTTTTCCTGATTTAAAAGCGTTTACTCATATCACTCTATATATAGAGAGTCACTTGAAATTCGACAACTGTCCCTTTAAAACATTGAACTTTTCTAATGATATCTGTATAAATTCTAAAAATATACTTGTAACGGTCAATCAACTTTTCCGTGCTACGCAGGAATGAAGAATTAATTTTAGTATTTTGATGAAAAAATTTAATTTATTGATCAAATGTGAGCTCTCCGTTCCCATGAAGCGAAGTGGCCGCGTTCTCCATAGTTAAACATCATGTAATTTAGAAGAAAAAAGATGGCCGCCGGGTACCACGTGATTTATTGGGCCTGTTCGGAGAGCTTCAGCTTTTTCTCCAAGATTTAAATTAGATTTGTCAACAATTATTGATGAAACCTATTTGTTAAACAAACTGCACAGTGTTTCGTGTTGCTCCTCATCATTTCTGGAAAACCATAGATACATTCAAATTCTAGCCGGAAACTTTGACCGCTCAGCCATTTTTCGAAATGACATTGATTTGTACGATGGTAACAAAGATAAGAGTCTATGGAGGGTACACTAATGATATATTTATTCTTTTAGCGGATTTTGACAATTTCTCAAGTTTTTGTAGCTTGATAATTTTAGTGGAACGTTTGAAATTTATTATCTACTATTTGAGACATTTTTTCAGGATAATAAATGGGAAAGGATTGCAAAGGGATGGGAAGGGAAAGGCAAATGATGGGAAACGGTAGGGATAAGGATGGAAAGAAAGGGGAAAAGGATGGAAAGAAAAGGGAAAAGAATGGGGAAAGGGATGGAAAAGGGATGGGAAAGGGATTGTGTGCACTTAAATCTTACCCAACGAAACATAAGGTAGGTTGAAGTGTGTAGGGGGTTGATGTTACTTAATTATATTGTTGGTTTTCTACAATTAGTTTTTATACAGGGTGTCCGGGAAAATCATTTTTTAAATTTAGCCAAAATACATATTTGGAATCTTACTTTTATTTTGAAAGATTTCTGTCAAATGGAAGATTTGATGATTAAAAATTGTTCAATTTTATCTGGTACTCACTGTGGAGGGAGTTAACCCTTTAGATGGGCTGGTTATCCTGTAGCCCAGCTGGGGTCAGGAGGAGGGAGGAGGGGACTCTGTAATTAAACTCTTCATGCTCTATCCGATAATTAGATGTTCAAACTTTTCTAAACAAACTGGTTAGAACTCATCTTTATACAAGATCGCGGGGGGGGGGGTNTACAGGATATAGGGGCGTGATTAAGTAAATATAGGGCGTGGTTTGACCTCTTATAGTCCGCCGATTGTTTTGCATGATGAGTTTCAAAAAATGAGTTTTGGACGCGCGCGCGCACGGAAAAACATTAAAAACAATTGTTTCTTTATTGAACCCGTTCATTCATTTGGGTGACATAGGAAATTGTAAATTTTGATCGAAAATGCCCATGCTCTGTAGATCTTCATATCAAACATGCCCATGCTCTTCAGATCGAACATGCCCATGCTCTTCAGATCAAACATGCCCATGCTCTTCAGATCTTGAGATCGAACATGACCGTGCTCTTCAGATCGAACATGTCCGTGCTCTTCAGATCGAACATGCCCATGCTCTTCAGATCTTTAGATCAAACATGCCCAGGCTCTTCAGATCTTTAGATCAAACATGCCCATGCTCTTCAGATCGAACATGATCGTGCTCTTCAGATCGAACATGCCCGTGCTCTTCAGATCGAACATGATCGTGCTCTTTAGATCGAACATGCCCGTGCTCTTCAGATCGAACATGCCCATGCTCTTCAGATCTTTAGATCAAACATGCACATGCTCTTCAGATCGAACATGCCCATGCTCTTCAGATCTTCAGATCGATGCCTGCATGTTCTTGAGATAAGAATCATCTGATATTACGTGTACTGTTCCAAACTCTTTAAATTATCGCAAAATTTTCCTCTTTGCCTGTTTAATTTACTTATTTGAATTTTCTCACGAACTATAGATATTTGACTTAATCTTGTCGAAACTGCTAAACATAGATCTTACACAGGGGGTCCGGGGGTAAACCATTAGATTAACAGTTTAGATAAGGGTTTCAATAGGTTTCAGTTCCATGTTGACAGTCCTGGGATCAGGGGCGTTGCCTGGACTTGATTGGAGGGGGGGGGGGGGGGGGGATGGAAAGTATTTATTTATTATGATTATGCCTCCAGGGCTCTGCATGCCCTTTTTTCTTAAAATAATTTTAACTTCTAACTGTTACTTAACCAGGAACTATTTTTCTTTACAAAAATATTATAAAATTTCGAAAACTTTTCTGTTTTCATTTGTGGATTTTCAAAATATAATAAAACCCGACGAAATTTAGTTTTAATTGTGACTGGCCATAAACCTTATCTGAAGTCATAAGTTCCTAGATAACAAATTTGGGCCCGTTTAGTCATGTTTTGGATACAAAAAAAGTGTACTTATGCAGGCATAACCCCCCCCTCTCCACGCAAAAAATAAAACTGAATGCCCCTGAGCCTGCTCCTAATTTTGTTAAAACTCATCCATCTTGTCTTCTTCTATCTACATAAACAACACAAAAACTAGAAAAACAAAAGTACTTTTTTACAAAATTTAAATCTTACCAACACATTTCGTTTACGAAAGGTAGGGTAAGTTTCACAATTTTGACCATTTTTTAAACAGATTCAATGTTAACGCACACCATACTTTTCGTTAACAAGTTTACAGGGATCGAAGACGAAAGGTGGCTTGTACAATTCACAACATTAAACTTTGAACAATGTAATAATGAAAAATTAATGAAATCCTTACTTTAGAGGTAAAAATTTATTATTTTTAATTTTGCTTACTCAGTAAAAGTGTGTTGCGGATTTTTAGTGCAGAGACAAAGGAGGAATTTTTTAGATTTTAACCCTTAAAAGATTAGTAGAGATAGATGTTTAAAGAGTGATTAAATGGAGGATCAATTAAAATTATTTATACAACTCCTGTAATTAACTAAACCATTCATTTTACATACAGGAATTGACATGAACATTTTAGATACAGGAATTGACATGAACATTTTACATACAGGAATTGACATGAACATTTTACATACAAGAATTGACATGAACATTTTAAAATAATTTATTTCTTTAAATCATAGATTTTTTTCTTTTTTGGTTTTTATTAAAAACCTTATGTTAAAGTCCCGTGCATCAATAAAAATAACGTTTTTACAACTATTTGAAATAAAAAAATCAGTCGGTTTTTCTCTACAATCAGGGAAATTATTGATATTCAGAAAGAAAAACTATAATCATTGATACTTTGAATCCAAATATTAAAACAGTTAATATTTGTCTCAACGCTTTAAATTATCTTTTTTCAGGTTATTCAAAATCGTTCTTATTCTTAGTCTTCTATTTTCTTCAACTGCAATGCAATATCTCCCCAAATGATGTCAAATTATTGATTTATCATGACCCCCCCCCCTCCTGGTCTAGCCGGGGAGACAAGATGTAGGGACAAGATACTGTTCTCGACTATTCAGTGGTTTAGATCTTAATCTCCGAACTCAGGTGTACAAAATATACAGGTGTTCAATTCTTTAATATTTATTATATAATCTATATTATTTACATAGTGATGTACAGGGTTTAAGGCTGAGCGGAAAGAACTCCGGGTTTCTGGATGAATTTCTAAGTTTACTGAATGTATCTTGGTTCTGCGAACTATACTGGTAGGACGGTTCACTGCAAAGCTCTTGGGTTTGTTTTAGAGCTACGATTCTAGCATCTGGATATAACAGTAAGGATGAGTAGAACAATAGAAGGAATGAGAGTTCCAGAAGAAGATGAGGATGACGTAAGAGGAAGAGGAGAAAGTACATTGTTTGAACTTAAAGGTTCAATCTTCAGAAATCTGTTTCCGTTCTCGTTCTTTCCCCAGGGTTTGTAATAGTAGATATAATCCGTCCTATGCTGAGGAACACGAGCACTCCAGACCTTTGGTTGCTCAGTAGTTCTCCAGGTTGGGTAGTTGATTCTAGATTCTCCGGAGTTACGAATTGGGTAGTTGACACGGGGCACATTGATGCTAACTGAGTTCTCATGTTCCTGCTCTGGGTTCTCGGCAATGTTGAGGACCATCTTCATGTTGTGGGTGGAGCAGTATCCTCCCGCCCTCCTGTGGAGGTCTCTGGAGGTCGAGGTGGAGATTAGGTAGTAGGTCTGTCCAGGTTTAAACTCTAAACCACCTGGAGTAGGACTGAAGGATCGGAAAGTGATCGTAAAGTATTTAAATGCTCCGGGTTTATCACAAACTGCCACAATCTTGGGTCTAGGGTTGGATACCCTACAGGAGACATACTCCTCCTTGCTCACGGAGTATACAACATGCTGTTCTCCGGAGTTCGGACAGATCAGGTGCATCTGATCATATTCAGTAGCAAGGTTTCCACTGTTCACGTCCAAGATATTGTCCGTATTATCAATCCTGAACACAGGATTTGTTGAGTTCCAGTAAACAAAATGTGTTTTGGTCGAGACCAGGATACTTTGGAGAAGGATTGATATAACTGTGAGAGCGAACATTTTGTGCGTCTGCTCAGGTTGAGAGTTGAACTGATAATGAGAAGGATGGATCAATACTCCAGGTTCTGCGCTCTCCTCCCCCACCCTAGCAGAGGGGGGCGGTCCGGGGCAACCTGTACCCCCGCTGGGACTTGGAATGCAGGCGTGGTGGGTCTAATCCCGAAGTCGGGTCAACAGCTAAACGCAGCGACTCTAAACCCTTTAAAAGACGTTGTCCAGTGTCCTCCCCCCTCCCCCAACCCCCAGTAAATAGTTTAATATATAGAATTTGAACGAGCTATAACCCTATTTTAATGTAACTCCTGCCCCCTCCCCTTTATATGGATAAATCAAGATTACTCAAACAATGTAACCTGTATCGTGTGCTGACCTGCACGCTTGAAATGTCAAACATACCGCTGGGTCGGTCAGATTGTAAATACCTGCGGTATAAGGGATTATGAACCAGTCAATATAGATCTTAACTGATATCATAATTATAATATGTTTGATGTGTGCTATAAATAGAATAAAATAAATTTCTGTGTGCACTTAAATCTTACCCGACGAAACATAACTCATTTTTTTGAAAAGCTAAATGTAAATAATTTTAAAGTTGCGGCCATTGAATTTACCGTGAATTTCCTGTTTTTCCTTTGCAAGATTTTCCTGTTTTCTTTGTCAGATTTTCCTGTTTTCTTTGCTAGATTTTCCTGTTTTCTTTGCAAGATTTTCCTGTTTTCTTTGCTAGATTTTTCTGTTTTATTTGCTAGATTTTCCTGTTTTCTTTGCTAGATTTTCCTGTTTTCTTTGCTAGATTTTCCTGCTTTCTTTTCTAGATTTTTCTGTTTTCTTTGCTAGATTTTCCTGTTTTCTTTGCAAGATTTTTTTGTTTCCTTTGCAAGATTTTCCTATTTTCTTTGCTAGATTTTTCTGTTTTCTTTGCTAGAATTTCCTGTTTTTTTGCTAGATTTTTGGGAAACGTTCTGATAGCCATTTCTACCTACTTTAACAGCGTAATATTGTATTGTATGGGATCATGACAATTGGGATTTATTTGGTTCAGCTGTATTGATGTCAGAACTGGTAAGAAACATATTTATGGGATACCGATTTTATTTCTATCTATAAAGATGTATTGAGAAAAAATTGTCAAATGGTAAATTTTCAATTTTGGTCTTTTATGGATTTTTTTTACAAGATTGTAATACAAAATGCGGTCTGGTCTGTCTTTCATGTGCTTTCAAATTGACAATAACTATCTCTGTAAAAAGCATAAATGAGAATATAAAGAGAAAAAAATAGTGAAAGAAAATATTATGGTTTTGGTTTGAAAATGCCTGGAATTCATAATGATGCGTTGTAAACAGAAGTCCAGCAGTGTAACCTATCAAGGAGTAAACCAGTAAACACCTAGGATATATCGAAGGAAGGGGGGAGGTGGGGGGAGGGTCAGCATAAAATTAAGGAAATGAAGTCTGAATAAGACCGGATATAAATTAAAGAATTTGACACGTTTCGAAGGGTTGGTGTTTATATACAATACAATGCAATGAATAATTTTCAATGGTTATATGATTCCTCTTAAATACTTCAATACTTGCCTTCATTCACACTCATTCTCTGGTCTTGGGGGGAGAAACAAACAAAGGTTTGTTTACAAATATACAGAGCAAACAAACACATGTTTATGGGTGTGTGAATAATGTTAGATATGTACACATTAGTTTGTTTGTAAATATAGAAGTGTGTACTACATAGATTTTAGACTAGAGTGTAGAGTGTAGAGTGTAGAGTGTAGAGTGTACAGTGTACAGTGTACAGTGCATGAGTATAGAGTTGGTGTCCGTGTGTGTGTCTGTGAAGTACTTGATGGTGTTGACACCTGGTAAAGATCTAGCAGTGTGTTATCTTTTCATGTTCCCAGTTCTCCCTGTTCAATACCTGCATATCTGATCTCCCACCCCCCTTCTCTTCCTAACCCTATCCATGCAATCAAGGGGGGGGAGGTCTCTTTAGGGGTTAACTGAAGTAGTTAATCTGATCATGTTGGATGTATCCCATACTGGGACGGATCTGACTTGAAAGGTTCAAATCTTTACTCTGTCTTTAAAAACCAGTAGGGAGTAGGGAGTAGGGAGTAGGGAGTAAGGAGTAATTAGGAAAAGAGTTCTAGATTTGGGGAAAAGGGAGTGAAGAGCAAGACGAGGGGAGTAAATAAGTATAAGTTGCAAAGTAAAAATAGAGTCTAATTTTCCAATTCCGATATCTTTGCAATCTAATGTTGTAAACCTAAAACATTTCTAACTCTATGAATTCTATCGGGTCAAGTTAAAAAGTTGAACCCATTAGGTTGCAAAGATTAGAAAATAAAAGTTTGTGGCAAGTGTTTAGTTCCATTAGTAATAAAATCGTAGTATTTATGGTAAATATATATTTAAAATTAACAAAAAAACAAAAAAGTGATAAAAATTGACAAGTTTTAAAACATGTGGAACGTATGAAACATACATTGATAAACAACAAACAACAGATTTTTGTTTGTTCCAAATAAAAGTTGTTGTTTAAAGGGGGCGCTTTGTACCCAGTTAATTATTTGACGAATATGACAAGTGTATACAGTGTAAAAGAGAATAGAATCCAATTTCTTATTCACCTGGGAATTCATTATTCTTATAGCGCTCAGTTACATCGTTCCATGGAATTTGCGTCAAAATCATTCAGTGCAATTTGCGTATTTGCTTGCACAACCCGATTTTCGCGAAATTCCTGGAAAACATGCGTAATTTCCAAGAAATGTTTCCACCGTAAGAAAGCGCAAAATTGCGGAATGCAGGAAAACAATTTCCGCGCAGAATGAGGAATTTGTTCTCAACGATTTTTCAATTCCGATGGAAACCCTTATTTCATTTGAACAAACTTAAAAGAAAAAGTTAAGTGAAAATTTAAGATAAATCCCAAAATATGGCAAAAATCCACTAAGAGAAAATTAAGAACTGTGGTTGATGGAAACTGAACGGTGAACCGCCTCTAACTCTAATTTTCGAATCTTTGCTTTAGATATATCAGATGTCACAGAACTGATATATAAGATATAAGGATGAGATATAAGGATGAGAAATTAAAAGTCGTTTCAAGTGTTCCTTTTCTAATTTATCAGAATTTTATCTCAAAAAAAGAAAATTTTTAAATTATTTCTTTTTGTTAAATTTGTGAACTGTTTCTTTAATAAAATTCTGAAATATCTGCAGTATAATGCTATGGAAGGTTTAGTTTACAAGGGAGGTATCCTGATACCAGCTCTGATAAATGACTTGACAAACTATATTTTTAGATCTACACTATCATTTACTAAATTTACCTGGAAACTTTTCAATGGTTTAGCGAAACAAAATCATTTTTATGAAATTTGGAACATTTCCTAGTTTCTTTTTTAATTTAATATAGATTTTTCTTTAAAAATTCTCCATTAACTTCAATTCATGTTGTTCCCTCAAACCCAACATAAACTTCATCATCGGGTATTTTCACCCAAACAGGGATTAATTTCCACTCCCCCTTTCTATACTCCTATACAACTTGAATTTATATATTTTATGTCTTTATGCCTGCATGAGTGCAATATTTATAAACTATGAGGAGTATATATAGTCTCCTGGTCAGATTACCAATATTCGCCTTGTATGGCGCACGCGCGGTATATTTGATGGAACGCGCTTCAAACTAAATCACAGGGCGCAAATTTATTCCCTATAGAAGAGGGCAGGGAGGGAGGGGGGGG